CCTGTCCCTGTGGGAAGGCGCTGGCCAGTATGGAGTTGGATGGAGCGTTGAGACACAGAACTCTGCACGCTGAGAACCTGATGGCAACAGAGTTCTTCTATAGCTGGATGCATCAGGCCATGTTAGCCTCACAACCTGAAAATCGGATTTCCTGCCCTTGCTTTCCCCCACAGGTTCAATGTCCACCAGCAGCCTTTGGGTCATGTCTGCCTTCTATGAGGCACCATGTTGGAGCGGTTCAGTGCCAGACTTTGCTCACTCCAGGTGGGTTCAGTTCCCTGGCCGCACCGCTCACTAGCTTTGTCATCTTACAAGGCACATGGCCCCTGACTTTCACTGTAAAAGGGGCTTAACCCCAGTCCTACCTGAAAGGCTTGTGAGGATATAAGCAGATAATCATATAAAGTGCTTTAAACTATGCTTGGCTCAAAGTTATGCTTAATAAATACTAACCATTATGATTATTGCCATTGTTATTCCAATGTGGGAACATCTGTGGGGGCGGACTAGGCAGCTCGGATGTGGCAGTTACGTTTTCATTGACAGTTACTGAGCTGTCACCTGAACTTGGTGTAAGTCTGACAGGAAGAGAGGATGGTGCACTGCAGATTCCGGTTCGGATCCTGCCTGTGGATTCCCGTTACAGCCTTGGCAAATTCACCAAGGCTATCAAAGCCCCCTCAGGAAGCCCCTGGGGTCTGCCTGCTGGTCTTTCTCTAAAGACACCATCTCAGTTAGGAGCTTGCTTTGGATTGTCTCAGAGGAGAGTTCAGAGGAGGTAATATAATGGGACCAGTGGTTTACATGGTGACTGAAAGCTGAAATGCCAATCCACTGAGGCCTGGGCTTGTGTATATCAGGTCACATGCCTGCTTCCCTCCTGCTCTTTGGATAAAAAGCAAACTTCACGCCAGAGTCCACAAGGCCCTTCCTCTCTGGCAGTTTCTGCCTTTCCAACCACATGGCACAGCTCTCCCTTGCTCACCATGCTCTAGTCCAGGGGTTGACAAACTACAGCAACGTTTTGTAAGGTGTTGATGGAATGCAGCACACACATTTTTTGTGTGTTGCCTGTGTCAGCTTCATGCAGCAGTGGCTGAGCTGGGTGGCTGAGGCAGAGACTATGGCCCACAGTGTCACTCGGTAACACCTAATGGCATGGGGCCTGGGAAATGAGGTCTGGTTGTGGCTCCAAGAATAAGAAATGGGCTTGTTCATCAGCTAGCAATTTTTGCTGTGTGCTTGGGGGTCTTGAAACTGCCACTACCCTTACCATTGTGATCGCCACCCGCTTCCCCACCAAAGGTCCCAGGCACACTGTGGAACTTAGAACTTCAGGGCACACATTCCAGAAAAACACTGACTTTACAAATCTGATTTGGCATTTTAAATTAGTTATTTGGTGTTTTGATTAATATTATAACTGCATGATATAGACACACTCATACCGCCAGGGCTTTAAGAACATTCAACAGGAAGCCAATGACTTCTAAATAGCTTCACCCTGAGTCTAAATGTACTGCTTAATATAGCTAACAATTAAAATAATAGCAATCGATATGTGCTACATACTTTAAATGTATGGTATATCTAATCCTCACCTATGAGGTAAGGGCTTTTGTTATCTATTTTATAAATGAGGAAAAGAGAAGTAACTTGCCCCAGTTACATAACAATAAGCAATGAATGATGGATGCAGAAACCAAAACCAGCAGTCTGATGTCAGCAAACCAATTAGTTCATTTAGCTTGCTAAGTACATTTTATGGTTAAACTAATACCTCATTCCTGTATAGTAATTTACAGTTTACAACATCGACTTTTCCAGATATGTAAACTGAGGCAGGAAAAATTTAAGTGATTTGACAAGGTAATGTATCCACTTTAAGGCAGAGTTAATCCAGGAGTCCCCCCTTAACCTCAGGGGATATATTCCAAGACCCCCAGGGGATGCCTGAAACCATGGATAGTACCAAATCATATATATGATGTTTTTTCCTATATATCCACACCTATGACACAATTCAATTTATAAATTGGGCACAATGAGAGATTAACAACAATAACTAATAGAACAATTATAACAATATATTTTTTTTAAAAGTTATGTGAATGTGATCTCTCTCTTTCAAAATACCTTATTGTGCTGTATTACCAATCTTCCTGTGATAATGTGAGATAATACAAAGCCTATGTGATGAGGTGAAGTGAGGTACTCAGAACAGTGCACTCTTTAAAGCTTCTGAATTGTTTATTTCTGGAACTTTCCATTTAATATTTTCAGACTGCAACTGACCAAAGGTAACTGAAACCACAGAAAGCAAATTAGAAACAAAAGTTGAACTGTACGTAACTGTATTTGCCTTCTCTGCAGCACTGTCCATGCTTAGAACCTGGTGGGCACTAAACCAGAACAAACTGTCTGATGGCATTTGGGCTGCAGAGATCCCAAAGTGCCAAATATCTATCCCTCGAGAAAGAAATTCTGCTTCTAAGAATATGTCCTACCCCATTAACCATAAGAGAGTCAGTGCATGATAATAAAAAATTAGAAACCCCCTTAATATCAACCAATAAAAGAATGGTTAAATAAATTTGGTTGCATCCATAAGATGGAATGCTGCCATCAAAAATCATGGTTTTCTAATTACTAGGGAAAATGCTCACAATAAAAGAATAATTTTATTTTACATAAAATAAGTATATTTTATTATACTTATTAGTAATATATACTTATTTATATATACATACATATGTATGCATAAATTGTATGTGTATAGAAATTATACATAATAATACTATCTTTTAAGAATATATCTATATGTATTTCATGCTTGCATGTTGGAGTATGTTTTCTAAAATATATTAATTCATGCTAAATTATGTCACAGGAGATGCATGGAAATATTAACCATGACTATCTCTGGGAAGTGGATGATAGTTATTTTCTTCAACATACTTTTCTGTGCTTTTCTACTTTCTCTAATGAAGATGCATTACTTTTATGAGGAGAAAAGTTTCACAATGAATGTCATTTTAAGGAAAGATGCTTAGCTGCAAAGCCCTACCATGAGCCACTAACGCCTGAGGTTGAGCAAATTTGCTGTGGACTCTTAACCCCAAGCATTCTCCTCTCACTAGCCTATATTTCACAGCCTGACTCCTCAGCAAGGTCCCACCCTGTGTGGGAGTGTTGAGCATTATATGCAACCACCAAAAACACATCTGCACTTTGAACTTGTAAGGAACTCTGAATTCCACTGAGGAACTCCCAGTTAACCATCAGTACCAGATAACAGTGTCTTGAGTTCAATCGTGTACAATGTTATTTGAGCAGAGATGTGGGGAGGAGAGGAAAAAGGAGGTTTTAGTCTTTGTGGCTTCATGGGATGTACTGCTTGCATCCCTTCACGGGAGAAGATGGAAAGGTTCAGATGTGGTTTAGGACAACGGGGTGCCAGGTCTGGGCAGGAACTGTGGCTCTGGAGCGTCTGGAAGTGGAGGTAGCCCACAGTCTTCCCCAGTGCATTTATTTTCATCTACTGATTTTCAACGGGAAGGCTTAGAAACCCCCAGAGAGAGGACTGAAACTCAGCCCACCCATGCCCTACAAACCTATGTCTGTGAAACGAGGGGGCTCCAAAAACAGGACAGATACAGGAACGGGTGCCTCGAGGGAAGAGGAAATGGCACTGCAATTCCCGTAATAAAGGCTGAAGTTAGTGGAGAGTGGGGTAGTCCCTCTGCTCATACCAGAACTTGTCCTGACTCAGGTGCCCTGGGGCACATTTGCAGCCTTGGAGCAAGGCACAGTGGGTGGCATTTTGAAGAATAATAATCCTGTAAGAGTAGTAACACAATGTTGTAGTGGGGCCTCTGGCGCAGTGTACTGCAGCAATTAAATCCCCTGGCTTTGAATCACAGTTCTATTACATGGGGCATGGAGATGACTATGTCAGAGGTGGTGATGGTTAGCTGCAAAGATGACAGCAGCAGAGTTTCAACCGTGGAGACACAGTACATCTATCTGTAAAGCTGTCAGGGTCTGCTGTGACTACTTCACTGCTTGGCTCACCACCCTCCAAAGCGAAAGCCCTACCATGAGCCACTAACGCCTGAGGTTGAGCAAATTTGCTGTGGGACTCTTAACCCCAAGCATTCTCCTCTCACTTTGCTGAGTGGGGAAAAGGGCTCTGGCTTAGGCAACTGGGTTATTCCCAATTCACCAGCATTGGGCCTGCAGGATTTCAGGTGGTGGTCACGTGGTCACCGTAACAGCAACAGGGAGGAGGACAGACTTCTAGTCCCCAGGGGCCTCTTTGTGGCAGCATCAGAGCTCCGGTCTGTGGATTCCCACCACAGTGGGGACACTCAACAGAATTATTTCTGAACCCTTGAGTGACGTCAACACTCCTTGGCATTTCCAGAAATATTTAGGGGAAAGGGACTCTTTAAATGCTGGAGATAAAACAGGGGTACCCAGAATTGGAGAAGTGTGAGATGCTTGGGGACCAGTTTGTTTAAACACAGCAAGTCAAAGGGGCTATTAAAGCATCCAATTTACAGATTCAATGTTTGTTCCATGGCGATTTGTCTTCTGCAGCTACTTGTTACAACTACTTCAAGGAGGTGCCCTTCGAGGACTTCATTTTTATTCGATGAGAGAAACATGATGACATGAAGCAAACTTGGACAATACTGCACCATAGACCGAGTTTATTTTTGGAGGCTCCTCCCCAAGGGACATTCTCAGTCTGTCCACAGCATATTCAGCAGCCTCTCCCCAACTGTTGCATTCTCTGCCCATATTGATTCTTTCTTTCTCCCAAACTTAAGCCAGCTAAAATGACAGAGACACGATCTGATATAGAAAGTCACCTAAAATGACCAATGATTGACAGTGGCTAGAGTTCATTTCTATTTTAAAGGAGGATGTGTGGGGTCCGCAATGCCTTAACAGAAAGGAATCGGGCTAATTGTGAAATTCTTTCATCATGACAGGCCGTTGGAGGGAGCCTATGAATGATCCCCCAAAGACAACTCAACTGACTCAGAGAGTTAACTCCGATGGTGCCGATGATGTAACTAATAACCCCTATGCATGCACTGGCTGAACTTCAGAGCTGTATTCAACACATCCTTTTGAGGTAGGTAGAGCAAAAATAATCACTCAGAATTCACAGCAAAGATACTGAAGAGTAGAGGGGACCACTCACGGGGCCACATCTCTCAGCTGGTAATGGGTGGACCCAGGACTAAACAGACAGCATCTCATGCAGGCCAAAAGGCCAAGTGTCCCTGACAAGGCTGTTTTCCTTGGCCCTCGTGGGTATGTTGGAATGTAAAGTTGTAAGGGGCTTACAGCTCAGCTAAATTATCTGATCTGTAAGCCTCTCTCTTTCTCTCACACCCCATATCCAATCCTTCAGCAAATCCTGACTTCACATTCAGAATACATGCTGAATATGACCCCTATGCACCATCGCCACCACTGCACCTACCCGGGTTTTCACCGTCTCTCGTTTAGACAATGGCAGCAGCTTCCTGACTTGCCCTATTCAGTCTTTTTCTTCACACACCAGCCAGAGGGATCGTGTTAAAACCGAGCCGGGTCTTGGCAATCCCTGGCTTAAAACCCTCCATAGCTTCCCAACTGACTCAGAGTCAAAGCCAAAGTCCACACCCCGGTCCCTGGCTGCCTTGCCGGCCGGCCTCTCCTGGTGGCTGTTAAGTCTCTCCTTGCTCCAGCCACACTGGTCTTCCTGCTGTTCCTCAAACTTGCCAAGCAGCTTGCTACCTCAAGGCCTTTCTTCCTGCTGCTCCCCTGCCTGATAGCCACAGCCCTTGTCCTTCACTTTATTCAGATCCCTGCTCAAATGTCAGCTCCTCAGAGAAGCTCCCACTCCACCCACTGCATCTAAAACAGCGCCCCCCGCCACCCCCACGCCCCGCTGCTCCCGATCTCCTCTCTTGGTTTTCATCTTCTTCATAGCACTTTTCTCCTAACACGTTACATATACATTTTAAAGAGCACTGTCTGGCTCTCTTACCTAGATGGAAGCGCCCTGTGAGTGTTGTTTTGTTCACTGCTGGCTGTATCCTCACTGCCTAGAAGGGTGCCTGGCACTTACTCGCTGAATAAATGAACCTGAGAAGCTCAGAGCAACACCTTTCCTTTTCGAAAAGCCCTCACTCACACAAATGTTTTCTTCCTGCTCAGCTTAAACTACCCAGCGCATGACATCAGTCCTGTGATCATTTTTTTTTCCTGATGCTCTCACCTCTGGGTGACCTTTAGCAAGTAACTTGACTTCCTTAGAACTCACTTTACCCAGCTGTAGAATGGTAATAAAAATACCACCCACCCTGACATTTTCATGAAACAACTTCTGAAAAGTCTTCTTTGTTTCCTTGGGGAAGGAGCCACACAGATGAAAATTCTCACTATGAAGTTACAGTTAGAACCACGTTGAAGCCACAGGAGGGCAGGAGCTGTGATCTCTCTCTCTCTCTCTCTCTCTCTCTCTCTCTCTCTCTCTCTCCTCACAGTAGGCATTCATTAAGTCCTTTTCTAAGTTAATATCTGCATCTTCCTCAGCAGTCCTCCTGGAAGCTGGCCCCCTGTCTGGGCTACCGCACTGAGAGCAACAGAAGAGTGAAATTTCACTTGGAAGTGACACGGACTGCTTTTTCCAGAAGAAGCCAACTGCAGGACGCTTAACGAAGAAATAGCTGCCGCTCCTGATCCCTTTACTTTGAATATGAATCAGGCAATGTCTGAAGAGGAGAAAAAATCAGATCAGAGGATTTTAGACTTTTTTCAGACCGACTCTCATGAATACCCGGACTCTCCTAATTTTGGTGAATTTCCTGGTTCAGCTCAGAGCTACTGAATCAGCAGATATTCTCAGAGTCAGACCCTAGTGGACATTAATATGTGAAATAAAGTCTGGTGCCAGGTATTTTCTGATGCTCAACAAGGATTCGTAAAATAAATGAATGGAGGAATATTCACACTCAACAATTTGTTTCTGTCCTTACCTCTTTCTCTTCTTTCTTCCCGTTTCCTTTCTGACTCTTTTTTTTTCTTTCTGCTTCATTCATGCATTCAATGGCCCTGCTGGGTTTGACAGATTACTGACCCTCCAAAGTCCAATGATTTGGTATCAGATCTAATTTCCCCCTTTTCTCTACCATTTAAAGAAGCGTGTTGTAATTTCCCCAGCAGAAGTGAAAGTGATCAGGTCTACTCACATGTCTGCACAGGCACAAGAATGACAGGGCCAGGAGCAAGAGAAGAGGAAGAGGGGACTTTTGAGGGGCTGACAGCGAACCTCACATACCACCCAGGGGAAGGAAATGAAAACTTGCGTTCCAAGGCAATTTTGCCATTGATTATAATTCTTTGCCATGAAGCAGGTGCCAGAAACAAATTCTTCCTTTTAATTAGTATACATTAATTTTAATAACTGGAGCTTACTTCCTCCTTTGCCTGAAGAGGAGCTATATAAGGAGGCACAATTTGTAGTTAACTTGAAGATGAATAAAATATTAACATGGCTTTTGTTTCCCCTAAAACACAATACCTAAATTAGCACAATGCCCTGATTACCATCCTACACCTGCATTTAGATTGCAAATGAGCTCGGGGTTCAGCACAGTTGTTAGGGCTGAGCAAGTGAGAGCTGTATTGGGTGGCCATATTGATACTGAGGATGGTGTCCCCTTTCAAGAACACCCACAGCAGAACCCATCATCTTGGCTTTGGCCCCAATCAGAAGGTTTTCATCCAGTGCATTTGGTCCTAATCACAGCAGAATCTTTCAGATGGATTTGTTCCCAGAAAACTTGCTTGACAGAGGTCAGATGGCAGAAGTTGCAAAAATGTCATTGTTTTACATTAACTATCTGTGGAAATTACGCCTAGAAACTGTTGTGTTTTTACCCCATTAGCTGGCCTGTGCAGGGTAACAGCCAGGTTAAACTGTTGCCATGCTGGCAAGGACCATTTTACTGTACATTTGTAATTGTTACAAAAAACTTAATATGAAATAAAAATCACCAGAATTAATAGGGATGTTTTGCTTAAGAAGGAGAAAAGATGAGTAATGCATTAAGAACAAAGGAAGAAACTGCCTGTATTATTGGCTTTGTTGAATGAACAGTGTTAAGATCTTGTTATATGGCTCCACAGAATACATTTTCTTTTTTTAATATATTTTATTGATTTTTTTACAGAGAGGAAAGGAGAGGGATAGAGAGTTAGAAACATTGATGAGAGAGAAACATCGCTCAGCCGCCTCCTGCACCCTCCCCACTGGGGATGTGCCCGAAACCAAGGTACATGCCATTGACCGGAATCAAACCTGGGACCCTTGAGTCCGCAGGCCGACGCTCTATCCACTGAGCAAAACTGGCCAGGGCCACAGAATACATTTTCTTTAGATTTTGGTCTTAGCTTCCATAATACTGCTGGTTTGTTTTTATCTTATAGAAACTAGGTTTTTATTCATGATCTTAATTTCCTCTTTGCTTTGGTTGGTAGCAAGCTCAAAAATTAAGTTTGAAGACTATCTCTAGTGACTCAGCAAAATTTTATGTTTGCATTTATTTTTCATTCTTATTTGGGGGGCTCAGTGGGGTGCATTAATTTTATCCTTGGCTTTATTTTCTTACGCATTTTTTCTTTTCACTCTGATCTTTTCTACTCTTCCTTTTCTCCTTTTCTATTATATACATTCTTTTTTTAAAAAATATGTTTTTGTTAATTTCAGAGAGGGGAAGGGAGAGGGAGAGAGAAATAGAAACATCAATGGTGAGAGAGAATCATTGATTGGCTGCCTCTTACAGGCATTCCCCACTGAGGATCAAACCCACAACCTGGGCACGTGCCTGACCAGTAATCGAACCGTGACCTCCTGTTTCATGGGTCAGTGCTCAATCACGGAGCCACACTGGCCAAGCTATTATATACATTCTTAAAGGCTGTTATGCAAGGAGATGGAGCGTGAATATATAAATAAATCTGGTCTCAAGGTGATGAACTTAACATATCCTAAATTCTCATACTGGTGTTACTATTTATCCTATATCACTATCTTTTTAAAATAGTAAATTTAGAATGTTGTCTTCCTTCTGGAAGTTAGAAAACAGTTTAATTCTTTTCTGAATCAGCACACACTGAACTTAGGTTTTCTTCTTAGTCTTTTAAATTTTATTCTCCCCTACTTCCCTTTTGTCCTGTGCTGTAAAATCAATTAAAGCTATGACCTTAGGTTTTATTAGTCATCAACTTGGGGACACACTACTTCTGAAATGTCGATGAGTATCTTAACTTTTTTTGATAGTTCTGGGAGGGGTGAAGAATCTATTCTGATCCATCACACTCTTTCACTCCGTGTGCCCAGTGACTGTGTTTTTGCATTTATTTCTTTACTTTCTAAGCAAGTTATTTATTAATTATTTGGCCATTTCATATTCTCTCTCTTTCTCTCTCTCTCTCTCTCTCTCTCTCTCTCTCTCTCTCTCCCTCTCTCTCTCTCTCTCTCCCTATCTCTGCCTCTATTCATCCATCCATTCCTCCTTCCCTTCCTCTCTCTCTTCCTCCCTTCCATTATATGCTTCCCCAGCAGTTCAAAAGGAACAACAAAGGCTAATACATAATCAGGCCAGGAAAACACAAGCAAAATCCTAGAAACCAAAGAGAAGGAGGAAGAAACAAGTGCAACAAAAATCTGGTTACTGTTACAGTCTTAAACTCAGTCTGGGTTCCCTCTCACCTCATCTAAAGGGGAAAATCACAATAGATTCTGTAAGTCCTAGTGGCAGACAACTTGTATTAACATATTAGCTATAGACACAACCAGACCTGGGGTGATAGGAAATAGAAAAGAAGAGGGTTGCAGTGGGCATTGGAGATTTATTTGAATATAGAGTCAAATGGAGATAACCAGACGCATGTTGGAATCTCCTGACTCCTCCCTTTCATCCAGTCCATGAACAAATTCTGTCATTCCGGAATCTGTATTATACTTCCTGCACGACTGCTGTCACGATGCACGTCATCATCTCTTGTGTGGATTGGCAGAGCCTCTCAATGCTCACTCTGCCCTGCCCTTGCCCTTGAACATGCTCTACTCCACCCAGCAGCCAATGGGCTCATGTGAAATGCGGATCATGTCCCTCTGCTCAAGTCCTCGGCGGCTGCTTTTCTTTTCATCTCACTCACAGTTAGAGCCAAGATCTGGCCCCCGACCTCTCTGAGCTCTCCTGCTCACTCATGCTGTTTCATCCATGCATCCCAAATGTCTGTCCGCAGGCATGACCCCTTTGCCTGCAGAGGTCCCTCAGGTATGCCCATGGCTCACTCCTTAACTCTTTCAGGTCTTTGCTCAAGTGTTTTCTCAGAGAGACCATCTTACTGGAAGTCCTTATTGTTCTACCTAAAATTAAGGCACCTCTACTACCTGCCTGCTCTAGCCCCTAGTTTTATTTTTCTCCATAGCACTTATTACTACCTAACATAACATACCATATATTATCGTACCAATTGATTCATTGTTGATTTCTGTCCCCTCCTACCCTCCCACTGGAGTGCAAATTCTGTGATGAAAGGGGTTTTGTTTTTGTTTTTAAATCTGTATTGTTTATGCTTATGCCCAACATTTAAAACTGTGCTGGGTGGGCAGGTAGCTCAATAAATATTCATTGAACAAATGGATGAAAGTGGCTCATTGGCACAAATTCTAAACAGCTAAGCTAGTATAGTAGATTGCCATCCAAAGTAAATTAACAGAATGAAGCAAGGTCCCCATTGCCAAAGTAAAATAGAAAATTAAAGCAATAACCAGTTAATTAGGTCAAAGGGATTTTTTTTTTTTTTTACTGTTATAGGATCATATAGAATCATGGGACTGAAATCCTGCCTCCTGAATGTAAGAACAAGAGAGTACATGTAAATCATGGGAAAGACGGTCTTTTCTGTATTTCAGGGCATTTGGAGAAATGCGTTGGTTCTCCATTTCATAATTGTTCCTTTTGATGTTCAATAACGTGTCACCCGCTTCCCTTCTTAGGAAAGTCATACCTGTAACTTAAATCACACTCACTGAGACGAAGAGCCGACTGCAGTGGCGTCTACCTTCTGCTTCTCTTTATCTTTGACTCTCTGCCCTCAAACAGCAACACACAAAAAAGACAGTGTTCCTCAGGTGTCTGTGGAAAAAAACAGAATTCTACCAAACAGCACTGAGGACGTTAGCCTTTTCCCGAGTTACTGTAATTTCCTTTGAAGTATATTTTTGTATTAAAATACAAACACCTTTCCTTTTAAAAATGTTAAATTATGAAGGGATTGGTAGCTCATTTGTCTCTTCAAATTTTACATATTCTGAGTCAAATTCTGTTAAGGCAATGTACTGTACTTTAAAAGAATCGTATAGGGTACAATTTTCTGGTCTAGCAGAAAGCCAATTTTTGGCCATAGTGTTATTTATGTTGGATATTGTTTTGAAGTCAGTTCAAATCATCAGCAAGTTTCTAGTGAAACAAAAGTATGAGAGAAGGTAGGTTAGACTGGAAGTCATCCTTAGGATTTATGATTCTTTGTATAGTTGAAATGTATTCAGCCGTGAAAGTTTTTTATTTTTATTTTCTCTTTCCTTCCTCCTTCCTTCCTTTTCTTCCTTTCTTTCCATCCATCCACCCATCCATCCATCCATCCATCCATCCCTCCATCTTTACTTATATTTGACTCTCTACTTCTTTTTCCTTCTATTCTTTCTCTTTTATTCTTACCTTTCATTTTTCTTTCAATAATTTTTCCTAGTTTTTTCTTTATCTTTATACTTGCC